AGATGGGGCTGGGGGGGGGGGGGGGGTCATGTGACGGAGAGATGGCTATAAATAGCTGGGGGTGGGCACGCTGCCCCAGACGCCTTGGGGACAGGCAGGAGGGCAGGCTTAAGGAGCTGTACTGGGGGGAGGGCAGGGACAAGCAGGCCGAGGACTGGCCGGGGGAGGGAGCATGGAGCCATCTGGGTCCCAGAGGCTTGGGGCCGAGCCCAGCTGGTGGGGTAGCGCCCCCCAGTACCAGTACATGCCCTTTGAACACTGCACCAGCTACGGACTGCCCTCCAAGAGTGGGGGCCTGCAGCACAGGCTCCGGAGGGATGCAGGCCCCCGTCCCAACGCCCGCCCCACACAGGTAAAGTCCTAAGGGGAGGGGGCGGTGGATTCGAGGAGACGGTGGTGCCATGGATTGGGGGCAAAGAGGAATCAGGTGAAAAGAGGGAGCACTGTGATCTTTTTAACCTGAAAAAGTACGCGGTCCTGTGTTCAAAATATGAACATTCTTCAAAGGTCTGGGTTCAGCCTTGTGAGCTCCTTATACAGAGATACACGGGTACTTTAACACAAGCTTTACTAACAGAACCCCCGAATCCTGGGGCGAGAGGGCAGAGCCACACATGCATGACGAGCTCGTGCTTACATAACCCACACGAGGTGAGTGGCAGAGGGGACCCCACCTCTGTGTGCGTGAGCTGTCCTCACACCCTCACCCGTGCGCAGACACCACCGGATTTCTTCCTCCCCACCCTCGGCAGGACACACACAAATCAGCGCTTCTGCAGAAGGCAGAAGAGTTGGGATGAGCGGAGAAAATGGACTGAATTGCAATGCATGTCAGTGATCAAAGGGAGACCAGTGTCAAATGAGCAGAAGAAATATAATCAAACTTTCAGGTGGGAGGATTAATTAAGAACCGATGAAATGGCAGGCACCTGGAAAGGTACAGAGGTCTGTACCCAGAGAGAGGGGCTTGTGAACTAATTAGGGATGTCCAGGGATAAATATCCTCCAGGGCTTCTAGACATCTAGGAATGGGCAATGGGATGAGCACCGCTGAAAGACAGGCTGGGAGCTTGTCGCAGATAAATACACAGGTTAGGATTAGCAAGTGAATGTGCATGCAGAGAGCGACAGGATGGAACCTGTCAGGAGGACCAGGAAATCAAGATTTAAAAGTGTTTTAGCCAACGAGGGGGTGGACTGTGGTTCCTCTAGCTTACGGGGTCTAGACAGGACTGGGAAACTGAGGGCTGGCCTGGGCTGGTGATCTCAGCGCTGGGGGTCAAGAGGATCCACGTCTCAGTCCGGATCCATCCCGAGGGTGGTGGGTAAGGGCAGCCCCGGAGAATCAGGTGGGGACTGGGACACAAAAGCCAGCAGAGGCTCCAATGGTGAGTCAGAGTGGGCTTCCTGGAGGAGGGGACCCTGGAACACTGTGTGGGGTTGGACAGAAAGACCTCTCCTCATGGCCCTGGGCTCACTGTCACCGTGTAGGCGGTCTGGGTGGGATGACAACTTGAGTAAAGGTGCAGTTATGGCACCTTCTGGTGACAGTGAGGAAACCAGGTACACTAGCGTGAAGCTTCCTGTTGGAAAGGAATACTGAGGTGACTTGGGAAGTAGGATTGGGCTGGGCGCCAAAGGGCCCTGAAAGCAAAGAAGGGGAGTTTGGACTTAAGTTTTTTTCTGTTTAAATTTTATTATGGAAATTTCACACTCATACAAAAACAGAAAGCACAGAGTGCAATGAATGCCCAAGTACCCTTTGCCCAACGATCAGTTATCAGTATTTTGTCAGCATCGCTTCATCCATCCTCCCAGCCCCAGCCCCAGCCCTACACACACGGGTGTTTTTGTTAAGGAATCCAGACGCTGCGAATGCTTTCAGGCTTGCCTTCTCCCTGCAACCCCCCTCCCCCAGCCCTGCTCGACTGGTGCACACTGGTCCAGCCAGCACAGATCCGGCTCTTTCAGTGTTTCCCAGCCCAGGTTTGGCATGGAGCACCCTCTTCTCGTCTCCACCAGCCTGGGAACCAAGGGGGCTGAGGCAGCCCGTGTGCTGTCCCCCCGGGTGGGTAGTCTTCTCTCGGGGGCCAGGTAGGGCACAGAGGGAAACACGGCTTCCCTCAGTCACTAACCTCAGAAGACGAAAGAGCCATGAGCAGGGTATTAGTGCGCGCCTGTCCAGGACTCAGGCATAAACTCTAATTCTTGTATTGTGAAATCAGATCTCTTCCACCCAGGCTCTCCCAGAACCAGCAACATGGCCTGGCCTGACCCTGGCTCCAGAGGACATAGTTAGTGCAGTGGAGGTGGGGCAGTTAGAGACCTTGCACACACACGCACACACACACACGCACACACACCAAACACACAAGCTCTAGTTCAGGAGGAAGTGGACTGCCTTGCTTTATCCGGGCTGGGTCCAGTTTGTGCATTTGAGCACAGGAAGGGGAGGCGGATGGGCTTTCTCTAAGCCTGGCAGGGCATCTGAGGGGCCTCACTGAAGCTAGACACACCAAGGCCAAGGGCAACAAAGAGTCACCTGCTGGTCTTTCCTTACCCCGTCCACATCAGTGTGAGGGGTCTGGGGAAACAAGAGAAAGGCTGAGACACTGGAAGCAGTGACGCAAAAACATGTAATTGATGCAGATGCCCAGTATCAGCACAGTTTTTTTAAAAAATACATTAATGTATGTATGTATGTATGTATTTATTTATGGCTACATCAGGTGTTCATTGCTGTGCACGGGCTTTCTGCAGTTGTGGCGAGCAGGGGCTGCTCTTCGTTGCGGTGCATGGGCTTCTCATCGCGGTGGCTTCTCTTGTTGCGGAGCACGGGCTCTAGGTGCGCGGGCTTCAGTAGTTGTGGCATGCAGGCTCAGTAGTTGTGGCTCGTGGGCTGTAGAGCGCAGGTTCAGTAGTTGTGGCTCACGGGCTTAGTTGCTCCGCGACATGTGGGATCTTCCCGGACCAGGGCTCGAACCTGTGTCCCCTGCACTGGCAGGTGGATTCTTAACCACTGCGCAACCAGGGAAGCCCTTAGCACAGTTTTTGTATCCCTGCTTCAGAGTAGGAATTGGTCCCCTTGATGAAGGCTGCTATTGACCAAGATGACTACAGATGTGCAAGGGCGTGGATGGATAGACAAGGGTGAGGAGTGGGAAAAGTGCAGACCGAGAGTGGGGAGTGGAGGGCACGGATGACCAAAAAATGACCCTGCCCGAGGCCCTCAACACCCAGGATTTTATTTTATTTTATTTTATTTTTATTTATTTATTTTTTTTGCGGTACGCCGGCCTCTCACTCTTGTGGCCTCTCCCTTTGCGGAGCACAGGCTCCAGACGCGCAGGCTCAGCGGCCATGGCTCACGGGCCCAGCCTGTGGGATCTTCCCGGACCAGGGCACGAACCCGTGTCCCCTGCATCGACAGGCGGTCTCTCAACCACCGCGCCACCAGGGAAGCCCAACACCCAGGATTTTAAAAAGCTGTTTGTTTGTTTTATCTGTGGATCTATATGCTTCCCTCTGTTTCTTCTAACTCTTCAACAAGGCAGACCTTTCCCATCTCCCTCTGTCCAGATCTATGGCCATCACAAAGCGCAGTTCTCAGACAATGAGCAGGACACGGGGATGCCCGAGACGATGGACTCCAGTGCTTCCGTGGACAACATGGAAGAGGATCACTATTCTAAATGTCAAGGTGATGGGGACCGGGGGATAAAGGAATGTGCAATGCAAGGAGGTACAGGGATTAGGACACTAGCTCAGAAGACCTGCTGCATATTTCTGGCTCGCCATCCCCACAAGCACACCAAAGCCCTCCTCCAGGTATTAAGGAGAAGACATGGCTCCCATGTCCTTCTCACTCTGCCTTCCTACTATCCCTCCCATGCAGCCCCAAGAAACTGGGGTTTAGAAAGGAATCAAGTAGCCAATGGGGAATTGGACTTTGGTGTCTTCTGAAGGGCAGAGAGGTGAGAAGAAACTGAGGGAATGAGACGTAGAGACAAGACGCCGCGGGCCGGGCACGTCCCATCCTCAGCCACACACACAGAGTAGTGATTGGTTACCTGCTCCCCTTTATTTTCTTTTCCTAGGTTGTATCCACCGTCTGGGACTCATGGTGAGAAGAAAATTAGGGGAAGATTGGATCTTTCTGCTGCTTCTGGGGCTGCTTATGGCTCTGGTTAGCTGGTGCATGGATTATGTCAGTGCCAAAACCCTTCAGGGTAGGTTTAACCTGGCCCTTTGCCCTCAGCCCTCCCCATACTGCAGTTGTTCTAGAGTTTCGACCTAGGGTAAGCTTGGGGGGGGGGGGCTTTGGGAGCAGGATGGTGCACAGAGATCAGGTGTAGCTCTGGCCCAGGATGAGACCAGACCCAGACCCAGATCCATTTTTTCTGCCCCTCCCGCCTGCTACCAGCCAAGCTGTGGGGAGCCCTCTCACAGGGTGACCAACTTGTCCTAGCTCTCCTAAGACTTTTCAGTTCAGGTAACTGGAAACACCTGGAGTCCCAGGAGCCCCTCAGTGCCAGGTTAACCGGGGTGGTTGGGTGAGCCACAGCCTCCAATGACGCGCCCACAGAGTGTGGTTTGCTGCACTGGCACCCACTTGACTTCCTACAAGTGGTGGGAACTTGAACGGGTCACGTCTCATCCCCCAGCTTAGACCCCCCCCCCCACGTGTCAAATGAGAACAGTGCCATCTCTGAGGTTGAACGGGACAGCCATGGCGGGAGCACGCTCCTAGCACGCTGTTCCATGCCGTGAGTGTGGGATGGCCGCAACATGCCATCCACATAGGACTAAGCCCAGACGCCTGTCTCTGCAGCCTACAAGTGGACCTACTACCAGATGCAGCCCAACCTGCCTCTGCAGTTCCTGGTCTGGGTCAGCTTCCCACTTACCCTTATCCTCTTCAGTGCCCTCTTCTGCCACCTCATCTCTCCCCAGGCTGTCGGTGAGAACTTCCCAGATCCTACCCCATATGCCATCAACATAATCCAGCAGAATCTCATTGGCCTGTAGACCTCGCGCTCCCCTCCCTCCCTCCCCCAGCCCCCTGACAGTCCTTTCGCCGCTTTGCTACTGTACTCCCCCCATAGACCTCTCGCCCCACCCCCATGTCCACTATCTGGATGTCCGTCTACCTTTCACCTCCAGCTTGAACCTGCACACAATCGTTTTTTAAAAACCCTTTTAGGCTCTGGAATCCCTGAAATGAAGACAATACTTCGCGGGGTTGTCCTGAAGGAATATCTCACCCTCAAGGCCTTCGTGGCCAAGGTTGTGGCCCTGACTGCGGGGCTGGGCAGTGGCATCCCTGTGGGGAAAGAGGTAGGACTCCAGTTACTGTGGGGTGAGCTGGGCAGGTCCTCAGGCAGAGGGCGGCACTGAGTCTAGAGGGAGCTCCAGGGGGCAGCCGTGGACCATGGGGATTCCGGAGGAGGGATACATGGGAAGGTCCTCATCAGCCCTGGGAGCACCCTAGAGCAGAATCTCGCATCCTGGGCACAGTGGGCATTTGGGGCTGAGTAATTCTTGGTTCTGGGGGGGCCGTCCCGTACACTGTAGGATGATTAGCAGCCTCCCTGGCCTCTACCCCCTACGTGCCAGCAGCAGTCCTCTTACCCCCCCTAACCCCCCTTGTGACAATCAGAATGTCTCCAGACATTGCCAAATGTCCCCTGGGGGCAAAATCTCCCCCAGTTGAGAACCACTGCCTTAGAGACAATCCAGACACATTGTGTGAAAACTGAGACCTAAAAGAGGCTGTTTTTTTTCAAGGTTATGCTCCTATACCTTCTCGGCCCCCCGCTGCAACCAGTTATCTTTTCAAAATAGAATCAGGAATGTCTGCCCTCTGGTCAGGAACTTCAAATGGCTTTCCATTCCTCTTCAAATGAGGTCCACACTTATTCCTGGGGCCTAGGGGGGCTATGGTGATCAGGCTGCCCCTCCTTCCCCGAGCTTGAGTGACAGGCACTTCCTGCCACTCAACTGCGCGAGCCTGCCCCCCTCTTGGGGCTCCTGCACTTGCTGTCCCCTCAGCCTGGAACATTCTCCTTCCCGATGCCCGTGCGGCTCGTGCCTCATTTCCATCAAGGCCTTACTCAGTTGTGACCTTCCCCATCCCACCCTCAGCTTTCCTGTCTCTCTCTCTCTCCTCTGACCCTCCCTCAATTTCTTCTTAGCCCCTAGCATTTTCTTTTTTTTTCCCTTTTTTTGAAACAAATGTATGTATGTATGTATGTATGTGTATATGTATTTATGGCTGCGTTGGGTCTTCGTTGCTGAGCGGGGGCTTTCTCTCGTGGCGAGCGGGGGACATTTTCTGAAATGATAAATATGCTGGCGTATCACCCCCCTTCCTCCCTGGGATGAGGCTCTGCGAAGGCAGAACCTCTATCTTGCTCACGCCTGTATTTCCAGCCCCTGGTACAGTGCCTGGAGCAACCAATGTCTGTCCAAGAATGCCGCCAAGCCCCCCCATGCGGCCCCCTGCCCCTGACCCCTCGTCCCTCGCCTCTCTCCCAGGGCCCTTTTGTCCACATTGCCAGCATCTGCGCCGCTGTCCTCAGCAAGTTCATGTCCGTGCTCTGTGGGGTGTACGAGGTAAGGCTGAGAAGGCAAAAGGAGCTGGGGCTGTGTGCGCTGGCGGGTGGGGCAGGGCTGCCTTGGCCGTGATGCTGAGCCGGGCACTGCGCTAACCCACGCTCCCTCGTCCCCACACACGTGGCGCCACCCGCCTACTCCAGCCACGCGATGCCGCTGTTTAGCCTGTGCCCGTTCCTTGACGCCCCCCACCCCCACCCCGATCCCTGCCCCCGCATCTGGGCTCGGCACGTGACCCGCCCCTCAGCCGCCTGGGCGTCAGTCCCCCTCCGGTGCCGCCCCGTCCCTTTGTTGTTCCTGCCCCTCCACCCCGTCTCGTGCGCTCTCCCCCGCCCCAGCGCTCCACCCGCCCTGTCCGCGAGCTTCTCTGTTGCAGACTGTGCCTGGGCAGCTTGATCTCCTGGTGTCGGCCTGCGCGGTGGGCGTGGGATGCTGCTTTGCAGCCCCTGTCGGAGGCAAGTCCCACTTCCTCCCTACCCCGGTGGCCCGAGGGGTTGGAGCGGTTACCACAAGCTTTGGGGTGGAGAGGGGTGCTCGCGGAAGGGACTGGTGGGTGGGCCTTCAGGGTGTGACCCTGGATCACAGGCCCTGGACTCCAGGCACCCGCGCTTTTTTTCTTTTTTTTTTTTTAACCAGAGAGCTGTCTGTTCTTTTGAGGCTGGTGGCTATTTCTTGCCGGCTTTATTGGTGCTATTTGTCTGAAGTCCTTTCCTGTCTCTCTTAATATTGACACTTCTTGCCGTGATTGTCCCCATCTCCAGCCCCTCTCTGGTGACCATTGATTGGCTGACCTTCCTTCCATATATTTGCCTAACATTTATTTCATTTTCTATGTTTGACTTGTGCTAGGAGATCACTTCCTGTTTGCCAAACTAACTGAGTTTCTCTTGGCCTGGGATCGCAGGGGGGAGACGGGGCCACTGTGATTCCCTGTGACTTAAGCCGCTCCTTCTTTATTCCCCACCCTTGCCTGTTGTCCTTTCCTCTTCTGCCCCCCTGCCCATCCTTCCCATCTGGCTCTTTGTCTGTGTCTCCCCTAGTAGCAGCCATACTATTACACTGACATGCTGACCGTGGGCTGTGCAGTAGGAGTCGGCTGTTGCTTTGGGACACCGCTTGGAGGCAAGTGATTTACCCCCGCCTACGTCTGTCCACTTGCCTGGTCTTACTCCCAAAACAGTTTTTGTCAGCATCCCCAAGTTCGATTATGAGCATTGAAAACAAGAGTAAAGCAAGAATAGCTTTTAGTGAGCATTTACTATGCGTGGGCAGTGTTCTAAGGACTTCACATCCCTTCCTGCCCAAAGCTGGATGAGATCTACATTAAGGAAGAGAGAGAGAGTTAGTGACTTGAACAAGGTCATCCTGTTAATAAGTGGTAAAGCCAGGAAGGAAAATCGAGGCGGCCTTTATGGGTCCCGTACTTATATTAAAACCCTTTGTATTGTTGGATATTTTTGCCTTTCACTTATTACATCTTCTAACAGGGGACTTCTATGGATGTTCCTCTTGGTTTTTTGCTCTTGAATAATTCATTTTTGTCGTTGTTTTTAATTGAAGTATAATTGACATCTCTATGTATTTTCTTCTCCAAGGGAAGACTTACCTTTGGTTGTATGTCAAGGACACAGAAGTTTAGGTGGACATATTTAGATTAATGGTCAGCTTTATTTTTATTTCTTGGCCACGCCTTGGGGCATGCGGGATCTTAGTCCCCCGACCAGGGATCAAACTTGTGCCCCCTTCACTGGGAGCGCGGAGTCTTAACCACTGCACCGCCAGGGAAAGTCCCAATAATCAGCTTTAAATCAGAACTACAGATGGAAGTTAAAGTGTCGTTTTTCCTTGGCAGCAACTTAAGATTGAGTTTAGCTCTTTCTACTAATGTTAGACATACGGTAACCTTTCAGATTATTTTCCTTGTCCTGAATAACAAGTGGGCATGGTCAGAGAAAGCTGTTGTATCTGTTTACTTACTCATTGATAACAGTTATAACCAGATTAACAGAGCAAGGATTATAAAGATCATTCATTGGATTCACTGGTGATAAAAAAAGACACCATGTTGACAATCTGAGAAGCAAAACTGCAGGAAAGGCATATGCTTCTTAAACGCACCAGCTGTTAGAGGTATCTTTCAATTATGAACATGTAATCAGTCCTTTCGCAGAGGAGTCTTCAGGAAACTAAGATGACTTGGCTCAGGAACGATATATGGAAAAACGTTTACAGTTAATGAAAATGTACCATGCTCACTTGAACTGACACTGCACCAATGTCAGCGAACATGTCAGCTGGCATCCTGTTTGCACTTTTGTTGTCAGCTCTTGTCATTAGTCATAGTCACCAGCCAGTGAAGGGTAGTGTGTTTGAATTTCTGCACACATTATATGTTCACACTTGCATTTATACCCGCTTTCACCTTTATTTGGTCTTTTGTCTTACAAATCCAGAAGGCCTGAAGAACGTTTTTAGAAAGGCAGCATTTTTTTTGTTTTTGTTTTTAATCAGATTCTTTTAAAGTGAAGAGAATATGAATTTTTTGCATAAAACTGGAATTTCTGGGGTGAATGAGGAAGGTTCTTCATGATCCTGTGTAGAGAACGGGAGAGGCAAATAGAAAAGTTACAGATAAAACATGGCTCTTGAGAAGATGTTAAGCATTGAAAAGTTAAAATGCTGTTTTCAGGATGTTTGTAATAAGTGGCAAATATTAAATGAATTTGCAGATAACATTACTTGATTGCTTTTATTTTATGAACATGGACTAATTCTAAAATAAAAAATATTAGTATTAGAATAATTTATTCACTATGTGGTCAACTCTTAATTCCTTACACCGATGAAAGAAATTTGCTTCAGTGTTTGGCCAAAATGGCAAATATGTTTTTGCTTCCCTATGTGCCCTCTGACGTGAGCCCTCTGGGCGCTGTGCTGGTTCCTGTGCTCTCAGGTACCCACGGCTGAAAGGGTAGACAGGAAGGCAAGCAGACCATCACAGTTCACTCAAGAAGTGTCCCAGTGGCAGCCTGGGCAAAGTGCAAGGAAGATATTCTGGAGAGAGAGGAGAGAGAGAGGAGATAGCATTGCAAAGTCAAGATGTAAGGGACTAAAATTAACATATATGTGCATTTCTAGAGGATACAGGGGAAGGAATGACAGGAAATGAGTCTGGATAGGTCCCTGGGGGCTGAATCATGAAGGTTCTCCTAGGAAATGCACAAGAATGTCGATTTCATTCTCTAGGCTAGAATTAGCTGGAATGTGTTTTATGGAACACATTTCATGGTGTTAACAGACATAACCTGTAAACAGTGTTCCAAGATAAGATAAGTTGGAAACTACTGGGTTCAAAAGGTAGTTTTTTAAACTGGAAGAGTTATCAGAACGTTTGATATGCTGACATGTATTGTGAATACCCCAAGTGTAGCATTTCCCACAGAATTCTTTTTGCAAGGACCTTCTTATGGAACTCATAATATCTCATGGACCTGACTTTGGGAAACGCTGTCACGGGTGAAGGGGAGCCATGGAAGAATTTCAAATAAGGAAGTGACATGGCCAACTCTGGCAGATCTGTGCAGGATAGAACTGGCCTGTGGATTAATAGGATTTATCCAAGATTAACAAGAAGACTATTGTCATAGTCCTGATGCTAGATGATGAGAGACCCAACTGGGCAGAGGCAGAAGAGATAGAGAACAGGATGATATATATGGGTGATAGAAAATAAAATCGATGGGACCTGGTGGCTGATTTATGTGAGGATGTGAAAGGTAAGAAAGGAGGAGGAATCTACGCTAACTTCCAGTTTTATAACGAGGGAAATGGCGTGGATAGTGATGCTGCAAGCAAGATAGGGAATATAGGGGGCTTCCCCGGTGGCGCAGTGGTTGAGAGTCCGCCTGCCGATGCAGGGGACACGGGTTCGTGCCCCAGTCTGGGAATATCCCACATGCCGTGGAGCGGCTGGGCCCGTGAGCCATGGCCGCTGAGCCTGCGCGTCCAGAGCCTGTGCTCCGCAACGGGAGAGGCCACAACAGTGAGAGGCCCGCGTACCGCAAAAAAAAAAAAAAAAAAAGATAGGGAATATAGGAAGTGAAACAGGTCTGGGGGAGCTGATACATTTAATTTTGAATACATTGCATTTGAAGTTCCTGTGGCGTCTCCAAGTGATATCAACTAGGCAGCTGGCTTGGTGAGTCTGAAGTTCAGGAACTGAGCTGAAAGCATTGCTTTGTTAACCAGTAGGTTAGCATGGAGGTGGTAGTTGAAGCCATGGGCATGAATGAAATTGAGAAAGTGTGTCTATGAGTAGCAATTGTTGGAAACCAAGGACGAGGCGCTTGCTGGGCAGAGGCAAAGGCGCCAGGGAGAAGGCAGAGAGGAGCCTTCAGGGTGGGAAAGAGAGCAATATTACGGAACCTAGGAGATTAGAGAGTTTCCAAATGCTGTTTGTGTTTTTAATGCTTTGTTTCCTCTTAGCAGCACATTTTCTGTCTGGCTCAGGCGAATATGAAAATGAGCTCTCATTCCGAAGTACACAGTGACAGACTGTTAGAGAAGGTGTCCCGGAACCACATCGCAGGAAAGAAAATCTAGCCTAGGATTTCAAAAACTGGTCGTAAACTATTCATGAGTTGGATAGTTTACATCCGACAAATCAAAGCCGACTTTGGTTTTGTTACTGGTAATGAAAAGGAGAGGGGCTTCCCTGGCGGCGCAGTGGTTGAGAGTCCGCCTGCCGATGCAGGGGACACGGGTTCGTGCCCCGGTCCGGGAAGATCCCACATGCCGCGGAGCGGCTGGGCCCGCCGCTGAGCCTGCGTGTCCGGAGCCTGCGCGTCCGGAGCCTGTGCTCTGCAACGGGAGAGGCCACAACAGTGAGAGGCCCGCGTACCGCAAAAAGAAAAAAAAGAAAAGGAGAGACTTGCTCTACCTGACTCCCCACTGTGTCAAGTCCTCCTTTTAGGCCAAGGAAACAGCTGCCTTACCTCATAAGATTTGGGGAGCAGGGGCAAGAGGTGGTTAGCAAAGCTCTGTCCTTCAGATTCCCTGCTTTCTGAAATGCCCCCCATCTATTCTCTTCTGCTCTCGTTCTTCCTTCCCCGTCCCCCTCTCCCCTCTCCTTTCTGTGCATCCATAGAACAGGCCTTGAGCCCTGATTATGTACCAGGCACTGTGTTAGGTGCTGGGTTCCAAGGAACTTTCAATCCTGGGGGAACTCAGAGATGTAAATAAATAACTATACCTGAAAGTGCTAAGTGCTCTGATAGTCCAGAATTCTGAGAGAACAAGGTAAGGGAAGGACTGTTTTTACCCGCAGAGGGGGATCGGGGAGACCTTCCCAGAGAAGGCGCCATTGAGCTAACCATGAGGAATCCCCTGTCCAAATGCAGGAACTCCTCCGCGAAGGAGTTAACCACACTCCCTTGGCATAAATGACTTCCTGTCATCGCTGACTGTCACCTACGGAGGAGAGGGCTGGGGTTCTGAGGGATTCAGGAGACGTGATTTTTGAATCTACAACAGGGAGAAGAAAATATCTCAGATGTGAGAGGTCACCGACGGAAGAGAGGGCTGGGGGTCTTGGGCTGGCCAGCAGCCGTTCTCGCAGAGAGCAAGGGGAGACGAGCCTTACCTAGTTCTCGGGCTTTCCTAGGTCTGGGCCTCCTCTCCATTCATCTAATTATGGGCTGCATTTCCTTGTTTTTCCTTCTTCATTTCCGATAAAAATGAGGCTTAGCCGGGTGTTAGGTAATTCTCTTGTAAGTTTTTTCTTTGCATCTAATCCCAGTCTATTCCCTGATTCTTGGTATGTTTAAAGGCTGTTTTCTTTGCATCTTTTTTTTTTTTTTTTCCTCTGTTTTGGCTGCTTCTCATTGTGGTGGCTTCTCTTGTTGCGGAGCATGGGCTCTAGGCACGCGGGCTTCAGTAGTTGTGGCATGTGGACTCAGTAGTTGTGGCTCACGGGTTCTAGAGCGCAGGCTCAGTAGTTCTGGCTCATGGGCTTAGTTGCTTCGCGGCACGTGGGATCTTCCCGGACCAGGGCTCAAACCTGTGTCCCCTGCATTGGCAGGCGGATTCTTAACCACTGTGCCACCAGGGAAGCCCTCTTTGCATCTTTTAAGTCTATCTTTTATACCCTTATTAGCTTCCTTACTTTGTCTCCACCGACTCTTTCTATTTTTCTATTTACCTTCTCATTTGTGTTCCAGCAACTACTCTCAGAAACAGTACAACTTAGGACTCTTAATTAGGTTTCCTTCTACCTCACCCACCTTTCTTTTTTTTAAAAAGGTATTTATTTATTTGGTTGCATCAGGTCTTAGTTGCGGCACGCATGTAGGATCTAGTTCCCTGACCAGGGATCATCACCCACCTTTCTTAAGCATAATTGTTTATAGCTTCTTCTGGCCTCTTGGTTTCCCCCCTGGATTTGGTCCTTTTCAGTCAGGTTTTTACTATTAATTTTTTTTTTAAATGTGGATGAATCCTCTTTCCTTTCTTGCAATATTGAGTATTGTCAGCTCTCACAAAGCCCTTTCCTATTCATTTTTCTTATTTCTTCCCTAAAAGTTGCATGGTACGTGGTTCATGGGAGAAGCGAGGAGAGATTGAGGGGGATGTTAAGGAGAGTCCCTGTAAATCTTGAGCTCTGCTTGGCACTCTGGTGAGCACCTGCTCTGGAAGCTTTCTCTTCTGTAACTTTTCTTGCAGAAATTTTTCAAATCCCCGTGGATACCAGACAGCTGTGAATCCCACCCAACCTTGCTTTCTAAGGGATGGAGAGGGCATGACCACCTGACCCTCAGGTTTTCTGGGTTAAACCCCCTCATTTCCCATCCTCTCTGTATCTTGTTGAACCACATCCCTGGCCTGCAAAAAACTGCTAGCATGAGCAGGTATATGGTTTAGAGCATGGCACACTCTAAGAGATCATCACTTCCCAGTTCTGCTCCCCGCTGTGATTGAAGTTTCAGCAAAAGCTCCTTGGGTCCATGGGGTGGGAGTGTGGGAGAGAGCCTCACACTTTTGTCTGCACCTGACCCTACTTCCTGGCCCCTACAGGAGTGCTGTTTAGCATCGAGGTCACCTCTACCTACTTTGCCGTGAGGAACTACTGGCGAGGATTCTTTGCAGCCACATTCAGCGCCTTTGTTTTCCGAGTGCTAGCCGTGTGGAACAAGGATGCTGGTAACAGGGGAGCCCTGGGGTGGCGGCAGTGTGAAATAGGGAGGCTGGTAATGGGGCATGGAGGGAAGCTCTGTGGGGCAGTGCAGAAAAGGAGTGGATGGCATAATCTGGGAAGTGAGACCAAGGCCCAAGGGTATATATAGGGCAAGGATACAGGTCATGGAATAGGGGAGAGTGTCTCAGCCAGTAGTGTTAGAAAAAGGAAATCAAATAGAAGAGGAGACATTGGGATGGGAGCAAGCTTTAATCCTTAAAACCTATGACCCTGGTTCCTTCTCGGTGCGTTTCGGTGATGCTCCCACCATAACCCTTGGCCTTTCCATCCTATAGTCACCATCACAGCTCTCTTCAGAACCAATTTCCGAATGGATTTCCCCTTTGACCTGCAGGAACTCCCAGCCTTTGCAGCCATCGGGTCAGTGGGTTTGTCTGCTCTGGAGGACAGTGGGGAACCAGGGCTGGGGCGTGGCTTTGCACCAGAAGGGACCCAAGCTGGGAAGGTGGGGTTGGTGTGGGTGAAGTGTACATTGTTGGGGGGAGGTGGGTAGAAAGGGAAGGTGTGTGCCTGGTATTTGTTTCCCTGCGGTGGCCAGGTCCGAGGGATGAGGGTATCGTTTCTGCATAACTTACACCCTCAGGATTTGCTGTGGTTTCCTGGGAGCTGTATTTGTGTACCTGCATCGCCAAGTCATGCTCGGTGTCCGAAAGCACAAGTCCCTCAGCCAGTTTCTGGCTAAGCAGTGAGTCACCGCCCTTCTTCTGCCCTACCTGTTTACTTTCTGGTTTCTCCAAGAGTTCCTCCCTTTTAATCTTTGTGGAAGGCGTTAAATGCCTTTGGGTGGCTTGTGATAAAATATGGAAGCTCTAATACTGTACCAGGGATGAATGGTGTGGTTTCCCCTTTAAAGATTGCTTGTTGGTGGAGAGAATTCTCTGTCTAATGGCCTAAGACTACAGTGGACTCCAGTTTTACTGCAGTAGACTACAGTAAACCTTCGGCTTACCAGAGTCCAGAGAGTTGTCCGCTGTGGCCTGGCTAAATTAGGGTGAGGATTAATTCTGTTTCTTTTTCAGCCGCCTGCTCTATCCTGGAATTGTTACCTTTGTCATCGCCTCCTTCACCTTCCCACCAGGAATGGGACAATTCATGGCTGGAGAGGTCAGCTCCAAGGGTGACCTCTGAGGGTGGGAGTCAAGTCACTGAGCACACGACTGGGACCAAGCCAGGACGGGGCCACGTGGCAAAGAGGAAAGAGCGCAGGTGTCCCTCAGGCTTCTGAGCGTATGTGCTTTGGCCCAAGGATAGACTCTCTCCCTGAGAAAAAAGCAAAAGGGTCCCATGAAAAATGCAACTGGGGAACTGGTTCTCTTAAAAAAATGGAAGTACCGAACATCCCTGGAGAACTGCTCCCTTTTGCTTCCTCCTCTCACAGTTGATGCCTCGCGAAGCCATCAGTACCCTGTTTGACAACAACACATGGGTAAAGCATGTAGGGGACCCTGAAAGCCTGGGCCAGTCAGCTGTGTGGATCCACCCAAAAGTCAATGTCGTCATCATCATCACCCTCTTCTTCATCATGAAGGTACCTCTCCCTGCACTCCTGGCTCCCTGGGCTTCTCTTTTGAACCTAGGAACTGGGGTGTGCATAGGGTAGGGAAGGGTAAAACTTCATTTGGTCTTCGTCCAACCTAATAAAAAAACAGTTTGGAAACCAGAACGAAAGTAAGTTGCTCATCTAGAGAAGTGAACCAATATCTGGGTTAATGTTCCATTCATGTCGGCTTAGTGATGTGGCCATAATTATTATAACCCTTCTAAAGGTTCCGCTTGCTAAATTATTGAGACAGCAGCCAAGTAAGTAAAGACAAGAGCTTAGCAATACAGAGCTTAGCAATACAGATAACTGTGTAAAGACCTCAGATAAATTAACCAAATCCCCCCACATGTTAGATAATTAGGTACTTGATTCTCCATGCATCTGATTATCCATTTTCAGATGATTTGCATATCCATTTGTTCCCCAGTCTAGTGGATGATCTCTTTTCTAGAATTACAAAAGGGATAAAATATTTAAATCCACTTTATTAGTGACTATAAATAATTTTTATAAATGTTATTATTCTCTATTTAGGTAGTGAGGCTGTGAGGATTTTGCCATTCTTAAACCATTTTCTTCTAACTTCAATTAGGAAACAAAAGCTGATCTCTTTTATAACAGTTCTTTTTCATATTTGCCCGTTAAGGATCACGTGTTTATAGGCTTCTCAATTACTGCCTTATACAAGGATATTTTTATTTCCATCACTGGTTGTGACATCTGTTATAATTGCTGATTGCCTTTTTTTTCTCTTTTTTGATGATTGCCTCATTATTAATAGTACGTCTTGCTTGAATAACCCAACGTTTTCCTCTATATATTAAGGCCTTCATTTGAAAGTCTGTCCACATTATTTTACTTTTATTTATTTATTTATTTTTTTGCGGTACGAGGGCCTCTCACTGTTGTGGCCTCTCCCGTTGCGGAGCACAGGCTCCGGACGCGCAGGCTCAGCGGCCATGGCTCACGGGCCCAGCCACTCCGCGGCATGTGGGATCTTCCTGGACCGGGGCACGAACCTGTGTCCCCTGCATCGGCAGGCGGACTCTCAACCACTGCGCCACCAGGGAAGCCCCACATTAAACTTTCATGTTTTTTCGTACCTTGCTATTAATTTATTCTTGATATTTATTGTGAATCTATATTTCCCCAGGATATGAGTCACTAAGTTGTATTTATATTGTAATAGCTGTAGTGGGTTCATTTATTCAATAAATGTTCTCATGCACCTACTGTGTGCCAAATATGTAATACTTGATTATTGATCTTTGGTGAATCTAACGCTTATGGTTGAAAAAAATTATTTTAAAATTTCCTTCGTGGTTTTTTGCTGCTCATTTAATGTGCTTGTCAGTGGTCTTATCCTTAGAGATACCAGGTGCTTGACACACCAGGTTCCAATTCTGTCACTTATGTTCTCAGGATTTGCTGTGGGGTTTCTGGAGGCTGTATTTATGTATGTTCTTTTTCATTCCATTCCAGGGGGATTAATTGGGTCTGTGGCTTCCATATTTTGCACACCCACTTTATTAATTAGATCATTTTCATTTCTTCCTTCAAAAGATTTGATATTTTTATGATAAAGAAGTTCTCAGTGTCTTGTTAGGGGTCTGATTTTTGGACTTTCGTTATAGAGCTTATCTTCTCTAATTTATAAACCCCAACTTCCTGTAATTGGTTGTTGAGCATACAAACCCATCTGCAGTAACCAAGTCCAAGTTTTGATGGCATCTCAGAATTTCTTGTTCAATGATAACAATGGTGTTTTTCTGATACTCCTCTAGACTGAGCTGTATGGTAACTTCAGGATCATATATACATTTGAAATGTTAAGCGTTTGAAAATTTTTGGAGAAACAAAATTCTGTATGTATTTTCAACATTTCCTTCCCACCTGACCTCATTTCCTCAGATTCCTCAGTATATCTCTGGATTTCACCTTACAGATTAAAATTTATTCTGAGAAACCTACTTGGATTATATAGCAGGACTGAACTGTATGTCATTCTTATTAATTTCTCACTGAATTACATCCTCAACAATGTCTACATAATAAGTGAATCAAGAAGAAACTCACATTTCTTGGGCTATATTTCAAGCCCAACAGTTTGCAGCAGGCCTATGCTATTCTATAATATTTTAAATGTAAAACCATTCAATGCTATAAATCCATGATATTACCTAGTAATCACTGCTTCCAGCATTTTCACTGTCTTATCATTGGACGCATAACCATACCCTTGTTATTTCCAAAGTGTGGACAATAGGGTGCGTAGGCACGTTAAAACATACAAGTGACTTAGAACTATTTTTGCACAGTTTGATTTGAAATTTAGCTTCTGTGGTCTTCTGGCAGTCTCAGTGCTCGCAGATAAGATTCTCAGTTCAGCTCTTATAACACTGATGAAGGGAACTTCCATCTTCTCAATTTTAAGACATGGAAGGCATCACCATGTTGTAACTCTGGAGTGTTTATAATGAGTATGAATATAACTACAACATCTCAGTTTCCTTTTTAGTAAGTCTAACATTATTACCTAGATCCCTGAGTTCTCAGTACAGCCTGAGGCTCTGTAGCATTCTTGCCTAATCTTCCTATGGTTCCTTCCTGTGAAGGGTTTAAATAAAGTAGAATCTGTGATAAGGGGTCTCTAGTTTCCCAGTTCTCTAGAACTGGGTGTCTAAAATCTTGGGAATTATTGGTGTTCCAGATCACTTACCCTGCTTCTGGATCTTGCCTTTCATGTGCTAACAGCTCAAAAAGAATGCTAGTCTCGTGTCATTCTCTGTGCTATAGGAGTTGATAACTTCAGTGTCCCCTGATCCTGTTGCTATTCTTACACTTATCTTGGAGGATAATCTGAAGTTCATCCTCTGAAATCAGACCAATCAGCCACCTATTATCTTTATTACTGGAGCTTTCAGATTAACCTGAGGCTACAAAATCCCTATGGCTTTCATGTACTTATTCCAAAGAGACAGTACAGAATAGTTCAAGGGGTCTCAAAACGTTGTATGTCAGGATCACTTAAGAAGCGCCTACAAGCGCCTAGAGCTATGTCTCCAGACAGTCTGATGGGGTAGCCTCCAGTGGTGTCTGGTCATCCGCAGTTTAAACAAGTTCCCCTGAAAGCATTACTGTTGGATGTTTTAAGCAAATATTAGCTCTACGTGTTTCTGCTTTGCATGAATACTGTTTGACCAAACTCTCTTCTTTCCTTCCATCCTTCCTTCCTTCCTACCTACTTACTTAACTTACCTACCTACATCCTGCCTGCATTTACTGAGCACTGTGCCAGTGCTGAGAGAAGGCAAACACAACAAGATACACTCTTGTTACACACTCGAAGAATTTGCAATCTGTATCCTTTTCAATTGTACGTTTAACTTTCCTGCTCTCAACTGTTTTAAACAGTCCTATTCTGACATGGCGACATAATGTATTTTGCCTCTTCTCAGAGATTGTCTCTTGAGGACAGCCCTGGCTCAAAAGACTCTCTAAGGTTCAGAAAATTAGGAAACTTATTTCTCATTAGTTTACAATAAAGTTCGTGCAGTGTTTAAATTGTAAATGTTTTGAGCCTGGCAATTTTTTTTTGACCTTTAGCTGTTGTCATCTTTCACCAAATTAGTTTGAGATATTTTTCTAAGATCGGCTTACTTATTTTGGAAATGATATGTAAACCTGTTGCTTAATTTATATATTATGTCTCATATGTTTATTTCTTTTACCGATATTTCAAAAGTTCAACCACTACTCCTTTTTCCATTCGGTTTCTCAGTTCTTTTGCATTCTTTGCTGCAGAATGTACCTATTGCTTTTGCTCAAATCATCCCAGTTCCTGTTGGAATACTACCTTGGCCTTGGAGGTCCTTTCTATCACGCTGGCTGATTTAGCTGGCTCTCTCAATGTGCTCTTGCAGGATGGTCAGGACAGATCTGATTTTCTGATCCTTTGTTGAAGGTGATTTGGTGTTAAAGGAAATGGCTCAGGCAGGACTGTCTTCACTCCAGGTTCCCTTGTGAGGCTTGCCATATAGATGGCTTTGTAAATGACCATATTGAAGCTAAGGCAGTCATGCAGTAAGTCACTATGACTTTAAGGTGTCTGCCACTTAGAGCTGGGGCTTTTTTTTCAGAAACATAGTCTGGTCAGGAAAAGATATCCTCCACGTTCAAGAGCTCAGGCTGCTTAGCTGAGGTGACCTTTGTGGGTTAAGAGGATACAGTAGGCTAGGGCCCTTTTGGGGGCAGTGACAGAGGAGTCCTCTGGGGCCTCACTCCTTGTTTTTATTGCCTAAAGGCAAATATTGTCACTCCAGGTAGAAACAATTTGGGTTGATTGCCTGGAGGAACCTTCCTATAGTGTTGTCTTTGGTGAGCTCTTAGCCTGAGCGCTCCATGTGGTTTTGGTTCTGGAGGAAGGGTGACAGACAGGATGGCTTCCAGAAGGATTAGCTATCCCAGGATGTCTGTAACTCTTGAAGCAAGAAGGAGGAGGATAGTGGGAAGGAGGTTGAGAGAGAGAGAGAGAGTGTGAGAGAGAGAGAGAGAGAGAGAGTGTGTGTGTGTGTGTGTGTGTATTGGGCAGAGTTGAGAGGGTGTCCTGACGCCTCTTTTTACCCCAGTTCTGGATGTCCATCGTGGCCACCACTATGCCCATACCCTGCGGAGGCTTCATGCCTGTGTTTGTGCTCGGTAAGTTCTGATGGGAAGCCTGGGATCTTACTGATGGCTGCAATCTAGTGTACTGAGAAAATAAGGGAAGGCCTGGAAGGCTGGGGGTTTGTATTTAGTCTTAGTGCCCAAGGAGGTATGGCTCTGAAAAAAGAGGATAAAGACCTTGAATCTCTCAACACCTTCCTTCCTTTTGTCTCTCCCTAGGAGCTGCATTTGGAAGGCTGGTAGGAGAGATCATGGCCATTCTTTTCCCAGATGGCATCTTATTTGATGACATCATCTACAAGATCCTGCCTGGGGGCTATGCAGTAATTGGTGAGACACATTCCACCCTCCTGTCACCCCAAATACCCACACTCGAACTCTCCCATGATATCTGCATTCCAGGCTACACAATATGGTTTTAATTTAATGCTGTTTAATTCAACTTTTATTCACATAATCAACCCTTGGCTCTGACTCTCATTAGCTCTTATTAAACATCTCTGAGCCTTAGTTTCTTTTTTTTTTTTTCGGTACTTGGGCCTCTCACTGTCGTGGCCTCTCCCGTTGCGGAGCACAGGCTCTGGACACGCAGGCTTAGTGGCCATGGCTCACGGGCCCAGCCGCTCCGCGGCACGTGGGATCCTCCCGGACCGGGGCACGAACCCACGTCCCCTGCATCGGCAGGCGGGCTCTCAACCACTGCGCCACCAGGGAAGCCCAAGAGCCTTAGTTTCTTCATGTAGAAAAGGGATTATGGGGATTAAATGAGATAACAAGGATGAGCGCACCTAGGACCACCTCTGAATGCTTGGTAAGGGCTTTTTTTTTTTTTTTTCCCAAAGAATCGTGGAAACAACAGTGCAGGTGACTGGCTTGAATACTCCTAACCTGCAGCTGTGCTCTTGTTAACGGGACTTAAGAGCACATGACTAAGAGCTAAGAAACATGGGCTCTGGACTCATCCCTGTCTTTTGTCACTGGATGACCATGGGGCAAGTTAGTGGCCTTTCTGCACCTTAATTTCTTTATTCTAAAATGACTTCTGAGATATCTTACAGCCCTAACATTTTGAGAGTCTGAGATAATCTTTTTCCGTTAAATCTATAGTCCCTTCCAACCAAAAGGGAAATATAGGTAACGCAGGGGACACGGGTTCAACCCCTGGTCTGGGAAGATCCCACGTGCCGCGGAGCAACTAAGCCCGCATGCCACAGCTACTGAAGCCTGTGCGCCTAGAGCCCATGCTCCACAACAAGAGAAGTCACCGCAATGAGAAGCCCACGAACCACAACGAAGAGTAGCCCTTTCTCGCCACAACTAGAGAAAGCCTGCGCAGCAACAAAGGCCCAACGCAGCCAAAAATAAATAAATAAATTTATAAGCAAAACAGAACAAAACCTGAGGTCCAAGGTAAAACACTGTAAATGGGTTTTTAAATGCTCAGTTAAGAGTGATCCAAACTTTTAAAAGCAAGGAATAGATGCCACATCACCGTCTTTATTTTATAAATGAAACTTTGGCCACACACAAAATTTTTGTAAATTGCCGAAGGTCATAGAATGAGATCAAAATGACGAGTTTCTAACAGTTCAGCATTCTAACCCTTACTCCTGACAAATGGTTATCTCAGGAGTGTTGGCACTGCCCAGGATCATGTGTCCCCACCCTGTGTCACTCCCGTCACATCCCCATGTAGCCCCCATGACAAGAAAGGCAGCCCTAACCCACCGGTACACTCCTGTGTCTCATTCTAGGAGCAGCAGCGCTGACTGGTGCAGTATCCCACACAGTCTCCACAGCCGTGATTTGCTTCGAACTAACGGGTCAGATCGCTCACATCCTACCCATGATGGTGGCTGTTATCTTGGCCAACATGGTGGCTCAGAGCCTGCAGCCCTCCCTTTATGACAGCATCATCCAGGTCAAGAAACTACCCTACTTGCCTGACCTTGGTTGGAACCAGCTCAGGTCAGAGGCACCAGCTGGAATTAGTTCAGATTTGATGGGGTTGGTGTGGGAGGTTCTGAGATTGAGCATGAGGTTAAGGTCAACGTCTGGAAGCACTGCTTTTTACTTATTTTTATATTCCCACGCACTTCATAAATATTATGAGTGATCAAATGCATGGCAGATCTCACGGGAGGAGTGGAAGGGACAGGCATATGGTAAGGCTAACCCTGCCTGTGCTTTCTCCCTCTGCAGCAAATTTACAGTCTTTGTTGAGGACATCATGGTACGGGACGTGAAGTTTGTTTCAGCTTCTTGCACTTATGGGGAGTTGCGAAACTTGCTCCAGACCACCACAGTCAAGACTTTACCACTGGTTGATTCAAAAGGTCAGTGGGAGGGAAGGAAGCAGATTCCTGAGCTAGTGACCTGAACAAGGGCTCCACAGAAGTGGAGGCGGCACTGTGGTGTGGGCTTGTCTAAGGGGCCACCCAGGCTGCTGCAGGACGCTCAGCCTTAGGGAACATGGTCATCTTCAAGGAAGGAAAAACACAGCCATAACACAAGCACAAGAAGACAGTTAAAAAAGCCAATGAAAGAAATACAGTTGATTCTCATTAGTCCTTGTAGTTATGTTCTATAAAGTTTCCAAGAACACTGAATTAGGGACAATATACTGAACCATTGCTCCTAGGGGAAATTGAGGGTGAGGTTCCTGCAAGCCTCTGGTCACACTTCCTTCAAGTAATCAAAGCATACACTTGTCTTAGGTGTGTTTCTCCTTAAAGACACCTTATTTAATATCTGTTGTTAATTCATCAGCATTGAACTCACCACGACCAACAGAAGGTTAGCTCATGGCTGAACAAAGCTTTTATCTAACACACTTCTTTTCTCCATAAGGCACAGCACAGCCTTCCTGCTTAGGGGCAATTTTAAACAGCAAAATTGGGCTTCCCTGGTGGCGCAGTCATTAAGAATCTGCCTGCCAATGCAGGAGACACGGGTTCGAGCCCTGGTCCGGGAAGATCCCACATGCCGCTGAGCAACTAAGCCCGTGTGCCACAACTACTGAGCCTGCACTCTAGAGCCCGTGCTCCGCAACAAGAGAAGCCACCACAATGAGAAGCCTGCGCACCGCAACGAAGACCCAATGCAGCCAAAAATAAATAAATTAAATAAATAAATTAAAAAAACAAAACCCCTTAAAAAACAGCAAAATCACCAACACAAAACACAAAAAATGCAAAAAACATGGCATTCAATGGACCACGAAAGAACATTTGTTTACAATATGAAAGCTGGAAAAAAAAAAGGCAGAGCATCACTTTGTTCAGACTCAGCTTGGAATGTGTGCATGGGGTAACTCAAATTTTTTGCTGCTCTGCACGTGTCTATGAATGATGGGAAAAGTACTGCAAATATTGATTTTGGGTTACAAAGATATTTAAGCCCGTAGGTGAATTCACAAATAGGGAATCCGAGAATAATGAGGCTTGGCTAGAAATCTTATGGCCCCTTATGTGGTTCTCATTGCTACCTAGCTAAGTGATAGCTGTTCTTTAATGCCCAATTTGAGGAACAGATGAAACTGTTCCATATGAAGGAGTGAACGTGTTTAATGAGCAGTGATTTCACCTCCTTCACCATCCTTTCTGCCCACCTTTGGCACTTAATCTTGTTTTGTATTATTTCTTATTGTGGTTTCCATACCTATGTCTTATCTTCCTCAGTAGATTGTGTATCCCTTGAGGGCAGAGACTATAACGCCTGTCTCACTCAGACTACCTCCTTATAGGTATTTACTGGATATTAAATAAATACGTGTCTAATGATTGTATTAGTGTAATAGAATCATTTAGGGATATTTGGAGCCATTTAAATTATTAGCTCTAATTTCAGATAATCAGAGTATCCAAACTATTCAAATTAGCTTAGTTTTAATATTTTCCCAAATCCCAAATACCTTTCAGTGGCCTCTAAAGCAGTGGCTTCTCACTGGAATAGGTGTACAGCCGATGGGCTGCAGGGTTTTCATAATAATGACTAAGACCTCATGGTAAGATTTGTCTCAGTAACACTGCTGCAATCTTATGGCCTCAAAACTTAATGAAAATGTTAATTATAGTAGCAGAATTCTGATAAATATATAAAAGACCTTCCCAGGAAAAGTGGGCATTCTGTTTATACCTACAAGGACCCAGAGTCTTTAAGTGATTAAACATCAGATATCCTTGTAGACTTCTTTCAAAGTATATCCGTTCATCTCAGTATGAATGGCTTTTAATGTGTCTTCTTTTGGAGACAGTGTTGATTAGCCTATTTTAATACCAAGTTCACCTATTTACAAGCAATCTGTGTAAGGGCTGCATCAAAATAAGTACAAATTAGTACCAATTAGTGTACTACCAATTGGGGCTCTAAGTGCTAAATGGGTGAAATAATAGGGATTGAGTGAGATCAATCCTGGAAGACTTTTGAAATGACTTTTTAGGAAGAGAGGGTAAGAGCTGAAAAAATATTGGGTGCTGGGCTTCTGTCCCTGACTCCATCCTGCCGAGCGAGGTGGGGGAGGGAGGGTAATTGAGTGCGGGCTCAGGCTGAGCTTGGATCTCCCCCAGATTCGATGATCCTGCTGGGCTCCGTGGAGCGTTCAGAACTGCAGTCCCTTCTGCAGCATCACCTGTGTCCTGAGCGGAGGCTGCAGTTAGCCCAGGACATGGCAAGGAAGTTGTCAGAGCTGCCCTTCGACGGGAAGGTGCGGCAGGCTGGGGAGGGGCGCCGTGGCGTCCAGGGTCGACCCGAGTCTTTTGCCTTTGTGGATGAGGATGAAGATGAGGACCTCTATGGGAAGCCCGAGGTGAGTGGGCTGGGAAGGGCCGGGTGAACAGGATAGATGGGGCAAAGGGAAAATAGTAAGAGACAGGGAAGATGCTGATCACTGACAAAGTCAAAGAGACAAGTGCCCCTGGGTCCAAGGACTGAAGGAGATAAGGTTGCAAATGATGGTACCGTGAGAATTCAAAGTGCTACAAGGACTTCTGAACTGAATAGAGTTAGATAGCTTTCCCAGGACACCACCTGGTAAAGGCAGGAAAAGGTAGCCTCTTCTCTGGGACTGAGAACTTTTTCTATTCTTTACAGCTGCCTCCTCTTCCTCCTCCTCACCCCTTTCCTACTGCTCCACTGCCCCCCGAAGAGCCCAACGGGCCCCTGCCCGGCCACAAACAGCAGTTGGAAGCACCGGAGCTTGAAGGTAAAGATTCTCCCATCATGCACCTCACCCTTGAGACTGCAGGTAAAGATTCGCCCATCATGCACCTCACTCTTGAGACTGCAGGTAAAGATTCTCCCATCATGCACCTCACCCTTGAGACTGCAGGTAAAGATTCTCCCATCATGCACCTCACCTTTGCCTCATGCCTTGTGGTTGTGTCTGGGCACTCCTCAACCTAAGGGCTCCTACTATGAGGAGGGGTAAGGCCTGAGGATGGTGGGAGGGGGTTTCTATTCTTCGAGTCTCCATGTTACCATCCCAAGGCATGGGGGGCAAGAGCTGGATTAGGAGGATGGAAGGGGAGAGTTCCTGTGGAGGTGAAGCACCTAGAAGTATGGACCTTTTGTGGTGAGGTGTCAGGACCACTTGAAGCCCCTGACCATTTCCTCCCAGGATGGATATTGCTTTCTTTCCATTTCCATTCACTCACCACTCCTCTCAGGTCAAAGACCCTCCATCTTTCAATCCCTGCTGCACTGCTTGCTGGGCAGAGCTCGCCCCACAAAGAAGAAAATGACCCAGGTGAGAGGAGATGTGTTGGGGGCGGGGGACATGGGACAGGGAGCTTGTCTTTGAGGAGCAAGAAACCCATGATCCTTCAATCGGGAGACAAGAGGTCCCACCAAGAAGCTTCATCATATGGAAGGGATGATGGGTTGGAAAGAGGCATCTGTGGCTTGGCCAGGGAGAGACGGCTATGGTTCCACTTGGAAGAAAAGGGAAGGAACTTGGACCTATGTCTTTCTTCTCTAGGATTCAGAGGATTTAGTGGATAACATGGCACCTGAAGAGGTAAGTAAAGGAAACAGGAACCTGGGGTGGGTTGTTTTGTCACGTGAACATATTGCTCACTTTTTTCAACCTTCTTCATTGTGTTGTTGTAAGAGTAACATGTGAGTCTAGGCAGGAAAGCATTCTGAGAGGTTGGAAATGAGGTGTGACCATGGAGACAGTACTGAGCACATTGCTCGGAGGTAGGGGAACATGGCGGTGTCCTCACGGGGACCGGCATCATTTCAGGAGAGGGAAGTTTTGAGCCTCTGTGTGTAGATGCGCCCATGGTGCTAGGATGACCCTTAGAGCTTTTAGACATTAGGGAAGTTCTAGACCAGGCAGAGGCTATGCGGGATGGATGAGATTTACCTGCAGGAAAATGGCACCGGGCAGCCAGCACTTACACAATCCAATGTGGAAGAACAGCATCGAAACTAAGATGGGGAATTCAGTGTCTGGTGAGGTTACTGTGCTGGATTGATCAGGGTGCTGAGACAGTGGACAACGAGAAGATTCCAGGAAGCGAGACTGGGAAGAACCACAAACTGAGGGCAGATTTTGACAGTGGCGCCCCATTGGGACAAATCACTATCCCCTGTAGAATCCATGAGAGGGAAAATCAAGCACTGAGTGGGTTTGGTTGTGCCGAGTGAACAGAACGTGGCACAGTGAGTGGGAGCAGGTGGCTGAGCTGTGCCCATCAGAACTACCCTGGCGTGTGGAGAGACACCGACAACATCCATTCCACTTAGTAAAAGAGAATGCAGCTTTCATCGAAGGCTGTAAGGTAGAGCTTTAAAAGTATGTAGCTGGGCTTCCCTGGTGGCACAGTGGTTGAGAGTCTGCCTGCCGATGCAGGGGACATGGGTTCGGGCCCTGGTCCGGGAAGATCCCACATGCCGCGGAGCGGCTGGGCCCGTGAGCCATGGCCGCTGAGCCTGCGTGTCCGGAGCCTGTGCTCCACAACGGGAGAGACCACACCAGTGAGAGGCCCGCGTACCGCAAAAAAAAAAAAAAAAAAAAAAAAGAAGTATGTACCTGACAAAATACCATAATGTGTATTATCTTTAAATAAACATCCACTGGATGTCCAGAATATATATGTGCTAGAAATTAAAAGTACTCAGGGTTGGAGGAGGGGGTGGTGAGTGACAAGAGAGAAAGGCAGTCTTCGCCTTCTCCCCTTGACGCCCCTCGAGATACACACATTTCTGATAAATGACCTAAAAAATCAAATGGATGATCACAGAAGAAAAAAATCGAACTATTCCTTCTGCCCACAAGCAGGAATCAGGCCATAACTACAATCAAGGAGTGCCTTACTAGGGTGCTCAAACCAATAATACTTTTTTTTTTTTTGCGGTACGCGGGCCTCTCACTGTTGTGGCCTCTCCCGTTGCGGAGCACAGGCTCCGGACACGCAGGCTCAGCGGCCATGGCTCACGGGCCCAGCCGCTCCGCGGTATGTGGGATCTTCCCGGACCGGGGCACGACCCCGTGTCCCCTGCATCGGCAGGCGGACTCTCAACCACTGCACCACCAGGGAAGCCCAATACTTTTTTTTTTTAATACACCAAAGAAAGCCAACTAGTTGATCAGTGAGCTTATTTAATGACTGCTGGAAATAAAATGCAACTAGGGATCAAAAGAAGATAGATCATACATTTTTAGCTGATATCTTTCTCAAGGAAGATTTTAAGCAGCTCTCAACTCCCATGGGAACCACCAAGACTTTTTGAAGGGATAAGATTCAATAGGAGTCAAACTTCAGGATATTTTAACAGAGTTTTCAGGCTAGATCAAGATGACACCCTTGACAATGTCAAGATAATACCTCTGGGAATAGTCAGAGAATTCAGTTGTAGGTTGCCAGAAGTCCTTGCTATGACTTTTTTTTTTTTTTAATTTATTTTTGGTTGTGTTGGGTCTTTGTTGCTGCACACGGGTGTTCTCCAGTTGCGGCGAGCGGGGGCTACTCTTTGTTGTGGTGTGTGGGCTTCTCATCACGGTGGCTTCTCTTGTTGTGGAGCACAGGCTCTAGGCACCTGGGCTTCAGTAGTTGCGGCACGCAGGCTCAGTGGCTGTGGCACACGGGCTTAGTTGCTCCGCGGCATGTGGGATCTTCCCAGACTAGGGATCGAACCCGTGTCCCCTGCATTGGCAGGCAGATTCTTAACTACTGAGCCACCAGGGAAGTCCTATGTCTTGTTTAATTCTGCTGCTCTGTTAGGGATACACACAGTTAAAGCCCTGGTTTGTAATTGATGCTGAGATTTTTCAAGTCATGGAACACATCAGACAAAGAGCAGAAAAAAGCTGGGGGTCCCAGGAACACGATCAGCAGTCAAGGTCAGAAGCCCCCCTCTGTGTAATCTTAGGCAAACACTTAAGCACTCCATGCCTCCATTTTCTCATCTGTAGAATGGAGATAATGATAGGGTTGTCGCAGAGGATTCAATGAGTGAAGCAATTAGAATAATGCTTGGCACCGAGGAAGTGCTTGGTGCACGTGCACTGGAAATGGTTCTGTTTGCGTTGTTCCCTAAGGGCAGGCAAAAAAGGAACCAGACAGGCCAGAAATGATCATAGAATGCTCCAGGAGGACAGGACCAACCAAACCAGGGTTGGCAAGGGTCTGCCCCCCGTCCTATAAAGTAAATCCTTTCTGCAACATACCTGCTAAGTGGTCATCCATCCTGTGAGAATTTTGTGTGAACCTTTAGTCAGGGAAGGTGAGAGTTTAGAGGAGGTGTGATTGCAGTCCAGAAAGAGCAGGACGGGACAGATGGAAAGCACAGCACTGTGGACCAAACACGGGACATGAGAACTAGGGGATGGCCTTCGGTGACGTCCTCTGAAGCTTGAAACGTGTAGATTTGGACAAACAGGAAAACAAAGTAGTACCTCATTCAGAAGGGACTGCCTGAAAAGAGATTACAGAAAATTTAAAAATCACTTATGAGAAACAGAGCGATACTGGATTATTTAGAATCTCGGGGATTTGCGGCGTGCACATCTAAAATCCAGAGGAAAGTTCAACTTTTGCCTTAATGCTTCGGTCATGGACAAAACAATGTAAACCAAACCAAACACACAAAAACGGCTTGTTTGAGTCAAAAAAGTGCCGTGTCTCCCAGTACAGCTCTTCCAATCCAACAAATCTTTGCCATGATCTGCTGTGTAAAAGGTCAGTGTGCTGGTTTCTCCATGACACACAGCAACTGATGCCACACAGCACTCTGGAGGAGTTCTGCCCAGGGGGCAGAATTAAGACAAACGCCAGCCTAAGATGGAACACGATCCATGCCGTTTCTGAAAAGGAGAGCCTGGCAGAGCACGTCTGACCCGGAGTGTCAGGCGTAGGGTATGAGCACGGGGTGGGATTCTTGGGGAAACCCAGAAGAGCAGTCGCAGACGTGGAAGCACATCTGGCTTCACTGGAGCTGTGGGTGTTACAGGAGTAGTGGAAGGTAAGGCCGGAAAGATGGGTTGGAAATAAGTGTTTGGGGCACTGGCAAGAAGGGGCGTGTTCTGAGCACCTGAGGGTGAAGGTTGATTTGGGGCTGGAGGGGGCAAGAGAGCGGTGCGGCTCCCTGAGCTGGGCTGAGTGGTCTGGAGGAGCTGTGCCGCTTCACTGTGTGTTTCAGGCTTCTGGGCCAGGGCGAGGAGGGCTGTTTGGGGTCAAGATCTGAGGTTTGAGGGGCTCTGATACTGGGTGATGGCTCTCCTCTCTGGCAGATTGAGGCCTGGGAACGAGAGCAGCTGAGCCAGCCTGTCTGTTTTGACTCTTGCTGTATCGACCAGTCCCCCTTCCAGCTGGTGGAGCAGACGTCGCTGCACAAGGCAAGTCCTTGCCCGATGCCCACCGCCCACCGAGCAGGGCTGCTGGGAGGGCCGGGAGGTGCGGGGGCCTCTGCGTGCCGACCTGCCGCCCTTTCCCCGCAGACTCACACTCTCTTCTCCCTGCTCGGCCTCCACCTTGCATACGTGACCAGCATGGGGAAGCTCACGGGGGTGCTGGCCTTGGAGGAGGTAAGAGCGATTGTCCCATTTGAGCGGTGAGGAAGAGGGGGGCACAGGATACAGGGTGGGGGGGGGGGGAGGGGTGGCCTTAACATCCGG